TCATTTTTCACCAATGTGATTCCAGTATTTTTAGGAACAACATGGACTGGACTTACCCACTGGCTGTCAGAAATAGGAAAAATAATTCCTAATTCTAAGAGTTTGAGAATCTCTTTCATCACCACCTCCTTCATTGCGGGATTGAACTTGCGTTGATACTCTCTCACGGGTTTTGCGTCCGACTCCAAAAGGATGTGATGCATGCAAATGGATGGATTGATGCCTTTGATGTCTGCTAACGTCCATTCAATTGCTGGTTTAAATTCCCGTAAAACCCGTAAGAGCCTCTCTTCTTGCAATGCAGTTAAATCATTGGCAATGATTACAGGCAAAGTCTTGTTATCTCCCAAGTAAGCATATTTCAAATGCTCGGGCAGTTCCTTCAATTCCACATTAGGTGCCTGTTGAACAGAAGGTAGAATTCTTCCATTAGAAGTGGGTAATGGTAGAAAAGAATTTTCAAACCTGCCTGGAAGCGGATGTAGTGAATGTAAGGACGTGATAGCTTCTTTGACTTCCTCCTCCTCCATGTCGTCCACTTCCAAATTGGTCTTGCCTTGTTGTAAGACAAAGTCCAACTTGTCCCCCATGAAATTCTGTTCAAAATTCTCTTGCACGATGGTGTTAGTCATGCCAACAAAATTTATAGACTCAGTATCCACAGGATGCTTCATTGCATCAAAAATATTGAAAGTGACCTTCTCTCCATCAAATTCCACAGATAAAGTCCCTTCATGTACATTTATTTTAGTCCTTGCTATACTCATGAAGGGTCTACCCAAAAGAATCACAGCTGAATTAGTAGAGTATTCATCATTCATATCAACAATGTAAAAATTCATAGGAATAATGAATTCATTGACCTTTACTAGAACATCTTCAACTAGGCCCTCAGGGTAGACATTAGACCTATTTGCTAGTTGAATGATTACCCTAGTTTCTTTGAGGGGTCCTAAATTCAAAACTTTAAAAATTGAAAGAGGCATGACATTTATTGAAGCACCTAAGTCAAGCATGCTTTTTTCAATTCTTTGATTGCCAATTATGCATGGTATAGTAAACATTCCTGGATCCTTACATTTCTGGGCCAACTTCCTTTGAAAAATCACTGAGACATTCTCCCCCACCTTCACCTTGTCATCCAGACTCAACTTATTGCGATTAGTGCATAAGCCCTTCAAAAATTTAGCATATTTAGGCAATTGCCTAATAGCATGCAACAAAGGAATATTGATCTCCACTTTCCTGAAGGTGTCCAAAATCTCTTTCTCAGATTCTTCCTTTTTAGCTTTTGTAAACCTGTCAGAAAAAAGAGGAGGAATGTCAACTCTCTTTGAGACTTCAGAGGATTGTTTCTCTTCTTCCTCTCCCACCTTCCTGGGCACTTCTTCTTCTTTGGCGTGGGCACGCCTAGGAGACTGTACCTCCTTGCCACTCCGTAATTGCATTGTACTGGCATTCTCCTTGGGATTAGGAATTACTTGAGATGGTAACTTCCCTCTATTGTTATTTTCCAAGTTGCTCATGGAAGTTGCCAATTGGGACATTTGTGCTTCCAAATTCCTAATGCTAGCACGAGTCTCTTGTTGAAATCTGTGAGACTCCTGTTGAGATCTTTGAGCCTATTGCTGTAATTGACTCGTGCTTTGGGCCAGTGACTTCACCATATCTTCAAGAGACATGTTTGAATTGGAAGTGGATGGTTGTTGCACTGGTGGCCGTGGTTGGAAATGTTGTTGAAAACCAGGGGGTTTTGAAGCATAGCTAAAGTTAGGATGATTTCGCCACTCTGGGTTGTAATTGGGTGCAAAAGGATCATTCCTTCGTGGAGGTGGTCCAGAAAAATCTCCCACTATGTTGGCTTGCTCAGGTGAATCCTCCTGGAGAGTTGGACACATGTCAGTCATGTGTCCGGGAGCAGCACAGATACCACAAGTCTTCACAGATTGTAATTGCCCCCTTGCCATTTGACGCACCAGAGAGGTAAGCTCAGACAGTTTACCCTCTAAGTCAGAGTGGTTCACTTCATTGACCCTTCTTATTGCTCCATCAGCTCTCACTCCAAATTGGTGGGAATTTTCAGTCATGGTGGAGATCAATAACGTGGCTTCGTCTGTGGTCTTGTTAACCAGAGCACCGCCACTGGCTGCATCTAACATGCTCCTATCCATGGGTGATAATCCCTCGTAGAAATATTGTATTAAGAGTTGGTCAGGGATTTGATGATGCGGGCAGCTGGTACACAGTTGTTTAAAGCGCTCCCAGTACTCATATAGAATTTTCCCATTCGCCTGCCTAACTCCACATATTTCTTTCCTTATATTGGCGGCTCTAGAGGCAGGGAAAAATTTCTCGAGGAATCTTCTCTTCAAGTCTTCCCACGTAGTGATGGATCCTGATGGCAGGTAAAATAACCAATCTTTAGCCTTATCTGCTAAAGAGAAAGGGAACGCTCTCAACTTGATGTGGTCCTCAGTGACTCCTTGAGGTTTCATTGTGGAGCACACCACATGAAATTCTTTCAAGTGTTTATGTGGGTCTTCACCTGCAATACCACGAAAAATAGGAAGTAATGAATAAGACCAGATTTAAGCTCAAATGCCTCTTCCGTGTTAGGAAATGTAATGCATAATGGCTGTTGGTTCACGTTAGGGGTTGCCAACTCCCTCAAAGTGTTTGGGGCTGCCATTGCTACTCGGGGGATATGCACTTCCTCTTCTTTAGATTCACTTGATGAATCACTGGAAACAAACTCTTGCTCAGATTCTGAAGGTGACGTTGAATCTTGTTGCCTACGCAACTTTGCCTCCTTGATCAACCATCTTGCAGTCTTCTCGATCTCTGGATCAAATTCTAATTCTCCTATACGAGAATATCGATGCATAAAATAAAAATAAAAATAAAAACTAAAGTCTGTGCAATAAGTCACTTAAAACACCAGTTCCCTGGCAACGGCGCCAAAATTTGGTGGGTGTCAAACCTCCAAAAATAAAGTTAAACATAACAGCCTAATTGCCAACCAACACAATCTCAAATTTAATTTGTAAACAGGGCAAGTAGGGTCGTCTCCTCAGGGAACTGGTAGGCAAATCACACAGGAAAATGGGGGGAGAGATTTTTAGCAATCGTACCAACTAATTAAAAAAGAATAAAAACTGAAATTCAAAGTTAGTAAGATAGTGGGAACCAAATTACACAAACAACAATTAATTAAAACAACCTAATCAAGGAATTAATCTTGGCACCGAAGCACACACCTGATCACAGATACAAGGGACAATTCATATACTCACGAATAAACTGGTTATAGTGGTCAAGCGACGCGCCCAACCACCAATCTTTTCTTAATTTTATGGTAGTCAAGAGACGCTCATAAACTACCCTCTTGTGACTAGACAACCCCAGAAATGCTCACAGGATTTAATGTAGCCACAAAATTAGGAGTTAGAAAGACCCAATTCTAAATGACAAACACACATGCGGATTTATTTAGGCAAGATTAATTATCCCCACGATCCAAATTAGACCACTTGCGAGGCGGTGCAATTGTCTCGTTTTCCACTAATCAAGATGCTTAAAGGCGACGCGCCAACATCCTAATTGGCTATCAATTATTTAGACAATCGAATAATAGGTCTAATTATCCAATAAATCTAAATAATAATAACTCAGGGAAAAATAGATAATAATCAAATATCCATGAACATATAAATTAAAAATAAGCAATTAAAACGATCTCACAGTTATGGTGCCCCGATCCTCGATTTATTCCTCAACTAGATAAAAGATTCAGCCTTGCCTCATGTTTGTTGCAATCCCAAGCTTCAATCTCGTGTTCATTAATCAAAAGCAAAGTGCCCAACCTCTAAATCACGTTACAAAGGAAGAAAAGGAAAAAAAACCAACTAGTCTAAGCAACGAGACCCAAGGTCTTAGTCTCGCGGGATCCGACTTTTTTTCTCTTCACTCCGTAGTCAATTCCCAATTTCTTTCTGGAAGCAACCTCCCCCGGTTCCTTATATTCCTCAAGCTTTCAGAATTCTCTCCTACCAAAAAGGATTAGCAATTTGACTCCTCCTAAAACTCAGCAGCTTCCCTTTTTTTTTTAGCCAATCACATTGTTGTATCTTTTTAGAAATATCTTCCCTTATTTTTCTCCATGATTTGTTGCCAAAATATTATCTGAAGATGTCTCCAAATCCAACGCAACTTCAAAACACAGCTCCCAAAAATAATGGCAAGCTTCTAGGGATAAGTGTCACGGTCCGTCTTTCGGGATTCACTCTGCGATCTCTGGCGTGAGCACGCCCTGGAATGAATAGTCTTCTGGAAATTCTCCTTTTTTATCACTTTTAACACCAATTGCCTGTAATTAACACAAATACCAATTATGAGCAGAAATTCAATACTTTGCATAATAAACTGCCAAAATTAAGACCAAATAACCACAAATAAAATGCATAATTATATCCCTATCACAGCCCATCACTGTCCAACCAAAAACACAGCTTAATCCCACTCCGGCACCAACTGACAAAATCATGCAGAAGTCTTCTCTTTCTATTTCTCCCCCCCAACTCAGATCCTACCTTTACCTTAAAATTCATCGGACCTTAAAGTCATGAATGGCAAACCACCATATAAGTGGTTTGCATAACCACACCCAACAATTAAATCAACAGTACTATGTTATGGGTCTTTTTCTCACCTCAAGCCATCTTTGCTAGATCTTTTACACACCTGTTTGCACTTGTTTTAGCTTTCAAGTACTCCAACAGAAGACAAAAAAGGAGTTAGATATTTTCCAATTTAGTTGTGTTACACTTTGTAGCCTAGTAATCAACAGACCAGATTTTATATAAGCACCTGAAAGTTCATCTTTGCAAAACAAAGTTACGAGTGAAAACTCAATTTATGTAGGGAAGGGAGATTTGGGTACAAGGAAATTAATATAAGAGGGAAATATGATATGATACTGCTGAGTTTAGCATAAAAGCTGTATGGGCAGTGTTGGAGGAGCTGAAGGGAAAGACATGTGGAGTGATATTGGCCATGGCGGAGAAGAGAAGAAAGATTTGAGTGATGGGTGGGGACGAAATAAAGATCCAGGGGCTCTTGGAAAAGGAAGGAAAAGAGGTTTGGGTTGAGCAAGGGAGATGAGAGTTAGGAAAATACTAACTAACCGGTCGGTAACCCAATTATCTTTGAAATGACTAGATAATAGCAAGGATGAGATACTTCCGTAACTGAGTTATGACATAGTTACGGAATGTAACTTAAGTGTTATTGCCAGATTATGAATTCTTTTGTTGATAAGACATTTTTTATCTACTCGAGTCTACTTGTTGTCCGTCTATTTCTTCTGCAATAATTTTATTCAATGTGTCGATTGTTGTAAATGAAACATTTTGATTTGATCCTACTCTTGTCATGTATCTGTGGTCACGCACAGTACTTATTGAACTACATAGAATTGTTACAATTGGAGATCGTAAATCCAACTTAGCTAATAAGAATATTAATAAGATGAAATTGAAATTTCTAATTCGACTCTTAAAACCTTCCATTTCTTTCGTCGCCCTTGTAAAACTCGAATTCTTCTCTTAAACAAGAAAAAAAATTATGATTCGACTTATTAAGACAGAAATAGTTGCTTATCTTGTGAGTGAGTTAGGCACTTCTTATAATTATCGTTTAAATTGAGTGTATAATGTTTAGAGTAACCGGCATCTGTTTGAAAATAACAGTAGTTATAAGTTCGTAAAAAAAATGAATAGTCACATGAATTTGGCTAGATACACAAAAGTAATCAATTTAAACATGTTTTCATCATTGTAATAAAATAGTTAGTCTTCATAAACATCTAGCATCACAAGTTTGCAATTTCAAGTTTTGGTGCCCCTTAACCCCTTTTTAACTAGAATTAACAAGTTGTACTTCTTGACCAACTGGACCTTACGGTTAGTTGGATGGATATACGCACCTAACCCGCTGAGATTCATCTTTACGTACGTCAAGTTTTATACTGCTAAGAGAAAGTAACATTATTCATGGAAAGGTATAAATAGAAAAAAGACAAAGTCAGCTATTTAAGATACTGATCCAAATTGAATTTGACAAAAAAAAAGGCTATTAAACCGGTTCATAGAAATAGCCTTGTACAAAATCTTCAGCTGATGCTAGCAAATGAACCCTCATTCCCTATTATTTTACTTTATTTAGTTATTTATCTATTTACTTGCTAGAATTTTCTCATAATTTTAAACAAAAAAAACAAAGATCAAAATATAGGACAACTTTCAAGTGGTTTTTGTGATCTATCAACATTTCAAATCAAGACCGCAATTTCGATACCTAATAATTTTTTCCACATGCAAAGAATGAAGACAAGAGTGAAGATTAATTATATAACTCTTGTGACATGTCTTTGGGTAGTTCAATTGGTCAACTGTCGTGCTTTCATTTTGACAAGTTTTATAACGCGTATCTTACATATTTAGGTTAGGAAAATGTTATGTTTTCATTTTCAAATTTATACATGTGCTTATCCAGTTCTAACAAGCCCAAGACTTGCAACTAACAACGACAATGGGACTGTTTCTTTCCACAAAAATTGGCACATTATCTTCCCAATCAACCCAAAGCTACTAATACCAATTTTTGAGCTTTCAAAAAAAAATAATGAGATACTAATGATACCAATTTTACCAATTCAAGTCTCCAATCATTGTAGTCCAGGTCTTCTTTAAAAGTGAATGTTAGACTTTCTCAGCCAAAATGTCAGAGCTTTATGGAGATGATGACAGGTGGGCGACATTTAATTCTGGAACGTCTCTGTGGTTCTTATCCTTGCAAGCATCCTTTCATTTTGTGGCACAAGTCAAGCTTCTATTACAATTTGATACGGTAGCAATTCGCATATACAGTGTGTTGGTACCTTTATATTTACATGGTTTTATTACGCTGTCCAAAGTCTTTACTTTTTATACACTTGTCTTAGTTGAAGTATAAAGTTTTGTTAATGCCGGGTTGTGGTGTTCCAAAACCTGCATAAATAGTTAATTAACAAATCCATATAGAATTTGTTGAAATGGCTTCTCAAAACCTTGGTTTAAGAAACTTGGATCAATAAACTAGCAAGTTACCAATGTTTGAGGGTGTCCAGATGCGTTCGTCAGCCATTTCCCAAGCCATCTTCTCAGAAATCCAATCCATGGTGGGGATACAATTCAAACAAGTTATTCGACTGCAATCATTTTGTCAGTTATATGATTGAACGAATTCGTCTGGGGGTAGGGTTGCATACAAAGTTGTCCGCTGGGAGACAAAAGAGACAGGGAGCTATATACTTAATACGGATGGATGTACTAAGGGTAATCCAGGAGTAGGTGGAGGTGGTGGCGTTCTTCGGGGTTCAACTGACTTACCAATGATTGCCTTCTCGGCCTATCTGGGAGAAACTACTTGTCTCCGAGCAGAGGCTCGTGCCCTTCTTATGGGTCTTCAAACCTGTATACATAAGGGTTTCGGGAACATATGTGTACAATCGGATTCATTGGTTTTAGTTGGGATCATTCAGTGTCGTACTCAGTGTCCGTGGCAAATTCGAAGAGAGGTCAACCAGATTTGGCAGTTAGTAGAAGATCCAGCTTGTTGAATTCAAAGCCTTGAATTCAAAACCTAAATTGTAGACTTTTTCAAGTCACAATTGTTGAATTTGTGGCATCAATTTATATTCCACATCGATAGAGTTGAGAGCTTGGGTAAGGGCTTAAGAGTTATAAATAACTCTCAAGCAATTCAATACAATTACACCAAGTACCAAAAATAAAAGAATTACCCAAAAAGGATTTTGTAATTCTTTTGTAATTTTTCTTCTCCCAAAATTTATAAAAGCGGGTCGCTTGAGCGGTGCTCGGAGATTAGGCAAAATTGGCCAAACTTCGTTATCAATTTTCGGGTGCATTCTTTCCTTATCTTTTTTATTTGTTCCGCATTTATTTATTAGTTTCTTTTTTATTGTAGTATAGCATTCAATATATTTGTCTATATTTGTCGGGTTTATTTGTAGTATTTTATACGATTCATTTGGGTGTATTTTCTTATTCGTGTGTACGTAATATTTATGTATATACGGGTTTAGTTATGATAATACACCGTGCACGTAAATTCTGTCTAGGAGACTGGGTTTTAAGTGGGACCTCTTGTGACCCCTCCAGCCTTTCTTGAAAATTTTTTTGGAATGGTAATTCTGTCTAAGGAGATTGTTTCGACGATTTTTCTTGAAAATTACTGAATCGGTTTAATCACTAGTTATATTTTTTTGAGTGAAAAATTACTCGATTTCCCCAACAAGTGGTATCAGAGCCGAATGTTCGTTCTTTGGCTTGTTTGTAGTTTGTTATATTGAATACTATCATTTGAGTCTGTAATGGTATCTGACAATTCCACGTCAAGAATTATATCTGGGGCATCGGCTTCCTCGTCCACATGGTCGAGGATTCCAATATCAAGTTTGAAGGTGGCGGTAGAGACATTTGACGGTACTGGCCATTTTGGCATGTGGCAAGGCGAGGTCATGGATTCCCTTTTCCAACAGGGTCTTGACATTGCCATTGAAGAAAAGAAATCAAATGACATAGAAGAGAAGGAGTGGAGTACCATAAATCGGTTGGCATGCGAAACTATTCGATCGTGTTTGTCCAAAGAGCAAAAGTATGCTTTCAAGAACGAGACTTCTGCATGGAAATTGTGGAGGGTATTGAAGGAGAAATTTCTGAAGAAGAGTGGTCAGAATAAACTCCTAATGAAGAAAAGATTGTTCCGATTCGATTACCAACCAGGTACTACTATGAATGAACACATCACTATGTTTAATAAGTTAGTAACAGACCTGTTAAATTTAGATGTAAATTTTGAAGATGAAGATTTGGCTTTGATGTTGTTGTCGTCCTTTCCTGATGAATTTGAACATTTGGATACTACATTACTTCATGGGAAGGAAAATGTGTCTTTAGATGCTGTATGTTCTGCTTTGTATAGTTATGAATTGAGAAAGCAAGATAAAATAAAGAATAAAGTAGCTACAGCAGATGAAGCGTTAGTGGCAAGGGGTCGTCAACAAAGCCAATCAAAGGGGAGAAGAGGAAGATCCAAATTTAAAGGTAGAGTTGCCAAAAATGAGTGTGCTTTCTGTCGTGAGAAAGGGCACTGGAAGAAAGACTGTCCAAAGTTAAAGAAGAAAAGGAAAGCTCCGCAAGACGTAAATGTTACAGAATACAAAAGTGATGCGGAATCAGATTTTTCTTTGGCTGATCACCTTTAACATCCCATCCAGATGAGTGGATTTTGAATTCAACTTGTACCTATCATATGTCTCCCATGCGGGAGTGGTTCTTTGAATTTGAAGAACTTGATGGTGGAGTTGTGTACATGAAAAATGACAATCCATGTAAAACAGGTGGGATAGGTTCAATCAAGCTGCGTAATCATGATGGATCCACTAGAATCTTGAAGGATGTTCGGTACGTGCTGAATTTGAAGAGGAATCTCATCTTCTTGGGACTTTTGGAGTCAAAAAGTTTGGAAGTGAAGATGCGAGATGGAATTCTTAAAGTAACTAAGGGAGCACTTGTGATGTTGAAAGGTGTGAGAAAGAATAATCTGTATTACTACCAAGGTAGTACAGTTGTTGGGACAGCAGTAGCAGCAACATCTTCCAGTAGCAAGAAGGATGTGGAGGCAACAAAGTTGTGGCACATGCGATTGGGACATGCTGGTGAAAAATTCTTGCAAAATCTTGCCAAACAAGGATTATTAAAAGGTACGAAAGTTTGCAAATTAGAATTTTGTGAACATTGTATTCTGGAAAAATAAAGAAGAGTGAAATTTGGCACTGGTATTCATAATATCAAGGGTATTTTGGATTATGTGCACTCAGATGTGTGGGGACCTGCCAAGACTCCATTCCTTGGTGGCAGGTATTATTTTGTCACTTTTATTGATGATTTTTCCAAAAGAGTTTGGGTGTTTACTATGAAGAGTAAGGATGAGGTGCTAGGGATTTTCCTTAAATGGAAAGCACAGGTTGAAAATCAAACGAGAAGAAAGATCAAGGTTCTCCAAATAGACAACGGTGGAGAATACAAGAGTGATCCCTTCCAGAAGATATGTCAAGAATGTGGCATAGTTCGACACTTCACAGTTAGAAAAATATCGCAGCAGAATGAGGTGTCAGAGCGTATGAACAAGACACTAGTGGAGAAAGTACGTTGCATGCTGTCTAATGCTGGGTTAGGCAGAAAGTTTTGGACTGAGGCTGTGACATACGCTCAATATCTCGTTAATTGCTTGCCATCATCTGTAATCGGTGGCAAGACTCCATTAGAGGTATGGTCTGGAAAACCTGCAACAGATTATGATTTTTTACGTATTTTTGGTTCTACAGCATATTATCATGTAAATGAATTAAAGTTGGATTCACGTGCAAAGAAATATCTCTTTTATGGGCTTTAATGCTAGAGTTAAGAGATACCGTTTGTGATGTCTAGAAGCAAAGAAGACTATTATCAGCAGGGATGTTACCTTTAACGAATTTGTCATGTTGAATAAGGTAACACAAGATGGGACTAGTGGTACTCCGCAACAGGTGGAGTGTACGCCGAAATAGGTGGAGTTTGAGCAAATAATGGTGAGCCCAGCAAATAGCACCATCAGTGACTCTCCCATGACAGAAGAGGAGTCAGATGAGGAAGAGGTTTCAACCCAAGGACCTCAACAGCAGCAAGAGTCAATTGCCGTCAATAGAGCAAGAAGAGATATTCATAAACCTGCTCGTTTTGTTGACATGGTGGCCTATGCACTTCCAGTTATTGATGATGTTCCATCCACATTTTTTGAAACAGTTCGAAGTACAGAAAATGATAGATGAAAAGATGCTATGGAAGAAGAGATGCAATCTCTTCAGAAGAACAGGACGTGAAAACTGACACAACTACCAAAGGGCAAGAAGGCAATTGGATGCAAATAGATATTTGCAAAGAAAGAAGGATTTCCTGACAAGAATGATGTTCGTTACAAGGCAAGATTGGTGGCTAAAGGCTACGCTCAGAAGGAGGGAGTTGATTATAATGAGGTATTTTTCTCCAGTTGTTAAACATTTCTCTAATAGAATTTTGTTGGCCTTGGTAGCGCAGTTGAATTTGGAGCTAGCTCAACTTGATGTGAAGACCGCATTCCTTCACGATGACTTGAAGGAAGAAATCTATATATCTCAGCCATATGGATTTAAAGTTGCTGGTAAAGAAAATTGGGTTTGTAAGTTGAGCAAATCATTGTACGGATTGAAACAATCACCGAGGCAATGGTACAAACGATTTGACCAGTTCATGATGGGTCAGAGGTACACAAGAAGCAAATACGATCACTGTGTGTATTTACGCAAATTACGAGATGATTCCTACATCTACTTACTCTTGTACGTTGATGATATGCTGATAGCGTCAAAGAGCCAAGTTAAAATTAACAAAATGAAGGCTCAGTTGAGTAAAGAGTTCGAGATGAAGGATTTGGGAGAAACCAAGAAAATTCTCGGCATGGAAATAAGTAGGGATAGATCGAGAGGCAAGTTTTGTCTGACACAGAAGTAGTATTTGAAAAAAGTACTACAACGTTTTGGCATGAATGAAGATTCAAAACCTGTAAGTGTTCTGCTTGCTTCTCATTTGAAACTTAGCAGCCTATTATTTCCAAAAACGGATGAAGAGCGAGCATACATGGCGAAAGTCCCGTATGCTAATGCAGTTGATAGCTTGATGTATGCAATAGTGTGTACGAGACCCGACATTTCACAGGCAGTTGGTGTGATAAGTAGGTTTATGCATGATCCAGGCAAGGGTCATTGGCAAGCTGTGAAATAGATTCTACGATATATCCAAAATACTGTAGATGTTGGATTAGTATTTGAGCAGGATGAATCACTTGGTCAATGTATAGTTGGATATTGTGATTCTGACTATGCAGGTGATTTGGATAAGCGACGTTCTACAACTGGCTACTTGTTCACATTTGCTAAGGTGTCAGTTAGTTGGAAGTCTACTTTGCAGTCAACGATGGCTTTGTCTACAACGGAGGCAGAGTATATGGCGATTACAGAAACTGTGAAGGAGGCAATTTGGCTTCAAGGATTGCTTGAAAACTTGGGAGTTGATAAAAAACACATTGATGTGTTTTGTAACAGTCAGAGTGCTATTCACTTAGCAAAAAACCAGGTCTTTCACGCAAGAACGAAACACATTGATGTTCGCTATCACTTTGTGCGGGAAATTCTCGAAGAAGAGGAGATTTTTCTCCAGAAGATTCGGACTACGGAGAATCCTACAGATATGCTGACCAACGTGGTTACAAGACCCAAGTTTGAATATTGTTTAAACTTGGTTAACATCCTGCACATTTGAGTTGGCGCCTGAGGGCGCAAATTTAAAGGCACCACAAGGACCATTTGTTATTTTTGTTAGTGAGAAGATTTGTATTTTTTGAGTGGGACTAGAAATTATGCCAAGATGGAGATTTGTTGAATTCAAAACCTTGAATTCAAAGCCTAAATTGTAGACTTTTTCAAGTCACAATTGTTGAATTTGTGGCATCAATTTATATCCC